AACTCAAAATCATCAGCACAATATAATAAATTAACCATGCTCCACACCGATAGACCGTGAACGGTTAGGTTAACCTGCTGAAAGGATATAGGTATATAATATAATAATTATACCCTTCTCGAGAACTTTGTGTTTTTCACAAGAGGAAATGCACCACTTTATTATATAATAATATAATATATAATGGTGTATATGTTATTATGTATTATTGTGAGCTGTGGTCGGATGCTCGTATCAGATATTCAGGACGTCGTCGAGAGATTGCCGAGCGAAAGACCGCAAAAACGCAACAATGACGGGCCGAAGAGTTGGCAGCCGTTCGAGTAGATTCACCGGATCCAGGTATAAACCGTGCTCACTCATACCTACACAAACACACACTTTATGCGCGTTATACAATACGTGCGCGTCTAGTTATCCGAAAATCAAACACAATGTATCTATAATATAATATTATATATAGCATTATGATTACTAAACCTACCAGCCTGCAGTGTATATATAGCTAATACCCTACCCATCTGGTCTGAAAAATAAAAACGGAACCGAAACACACGAAAACACTTTAAATAATAATATCGTATTATTTATTATATTATACTCGCATTGCTGCAGTTCTTCCTTCCTCGGATGGATCATATTATTGTAAGTGCGCCGTGTCAAATGGACCGTGACGACGATTGAGGCTGTGATTTTAGCAGTGCGCACAATACTATACTTGCGGATAGTAATAATAATATATACAATAAATGTGTACAATATATATTATTATATTATGTATAGAGTTAACGTGGACGAATTCGACAGCATATTATAAAAATGGTTAAACTGACAGTCCATCTCCACGTTCAATAATAATGCATATATTACACGCTGGAGATGGGTATTACAATAATACATATAGATACCTATACTAGGTAGGTGCAGGTATAGTGGTGCACCTAAGTATATAACATAATAATATACAATACCTGCGGAGCGTGTGGTACGTGTCGTACGTCGGCGGCGGAGACTTGAATGCCAGGTAATGATATGTTTGTGCAAACACACTCGACTCCGACGACAATGGACAATAACAATAATACATATCATATAGTATTAAATACGATGTTTTTCCTTCTCGGTTTCCGATTTCGCATCGATCTCCGCGGCCGGCGGCTCCGTCGTTGTTGTCGGGACGTCGACAAAAGAAGCGTCGTGAATCAACGGCAGCCAGGATTATTTTAACGACGATCACATGTTTGCCGGGCAGATCACGTCGCAGATAAACGCGATACCGTGAACAATAATAATACTGTCGTGTCCCATTCCCATATACGCGGTTTCCGTGTACGTTTCCTTGCGAGCTCGTATTATTATTATTATTATTATTATTGTATGGGTATAATATTATTTCGCATATTGTGTCCTATACGTCGCATATACCTGTTAAAGCAGTGTAAATATAACATATATATGGCTATTATATGTATTTGATATCCAGGACGATGATGCGTGCAGCGCGCGAGTGATCGAGAGAAGAGCAGCTTGCACATTGTCGTTGGGATAATATACAATCCGCGAGCACGCACACACATTTATACATTTCATAATAATAATAATATAATATCCACGTTGTACAAATAGGAATACTAAAAAAAAAATGCATGTCGGGCACGTGTCTGAAGGAATGGGGTAACCGGTAAAAATATCTAAAAAATAAACATCCGGAAAGAAAAATATATAAAAACCAAATATTAACCATATTTAAATAAAAATACATCAGATACAAAAATATTAAAGGGCTCGATACCTAGAAATCCATAACAACATTTCTAAACCGTTTATTTTTTTTTTATTTTTTCCATCGATATTTTTTCCTCTAGATTGTATTATAACTCAGCTCTCGTTACAAAAAAATTCAAACTATTATCAAGATTTCTTTTGATTTCAAACTGTTACGATACTGTATGTCCACATTTCCCGCTTCATCGACGTCTGAAATTGAGAACAGAATTATTCATACCCTGTATATTGTTAGTTTGTTACTTTTAGCCTTTATTACTAGTAAACATAGATAATCCTAGTTTAGCTATCGATTAACGATTTTAATATTTTGTAATATATTCTGCACCTCAACCACTCCTTCCTCATCTCCAAAAAACCTGCCTCAGTATGCGATGCATGCAAGAAAAACCTTTCACTCGACTACATCGTTACCATATGTCCAAAATATGCTGAAGCACTGAACATTTTTACTAACCCAACTTCCCTCCGATTAGCTCTCAACGAAGAAAACATCGATGTAATATACATATTTTTCCTTACCGTAAATTTAAGTAATACATTTTAAACACCTGTAAATATTTAATTCTGTTTTTCTCAACCTGTTTTTTATTTATTTTTTATTTTATTTCTTTCTATGTTACAATAACTGTAGGCTAATAATTCATTTGCTGGAGCCTTACTGGGAATAATAAAAAAAAAAAACTTTACTCTATATTATATTTTGTATGGTCAATCAATGATTAAGCATTTTTTTTATCCTTACAATGTATTTGCCGTTAGAATCAACCGAAAGTGCATCTCAAAGCGCAATCATAATAATATGTTTAAATCAGTCTATTAGCTTCAAATATCATAGACGACTGTTTCGAGTTGAATATTCGGTGATTTGAATGTGATGATCGTCTATTATTATTATTGCGGTAACTGTTATTTATTAGGTTATAAGTACGTTAACATAAATCGTGATCGGAAGTAGATTTTTACAATCAACACATTGCTATCGGGTCGAAAAAAATATAACGAGATGAATAGGTAGGTACTGTAACGGTCATTTATTATTATTATTATTATTGTTGTTGTTGTTGCGTGTATTCAATACTTATAATCTCCTCAAGTATTTGAAATTTAACAGAAAAATACGATACGGGGCTTATTTACAAAATAATCATATATTATTAGATTTTACATTTTTAACAGTATGCGACCTTATTATTACCTAAAACTGGTTTGAAAAATATTACTGTCGTCAAATCTTGTAGAATATAACATAACAAAATAATATGTATTATTTAACTTGGTATTAAACATCTGTTCATCAAAGATGTTTAGACACATTGTATGGAGTTATTTAAATTGTTGATTATATGAAACTTTTAAACCTAATGAGTTACTTTCAAAATAGACAAATATGTGATGTACTTATCACTTGTCTAATTTATTTATCGAATATATAATATAGTGTCTTAACATTTAAGCATTTAAGTAACGAGTGTGTTTATTGTTATTAATTCCTAATTGATTTCATGTTTCTTATATGTATATGGTTAATTTACAAATAACACATAAGTAATATTTATAAAATTAGATTTTAATGTAATTTTCTGCACAAATTATTATAACCGTAAGATTAAGTGTATTTGTAATTCGGCTTATTTCGAATCTTAATTACCTCATCAACGTGATAAACCAACACAGTTTAATTTTACCATGCCACACAAAGGTATAATCGTATAGATAAAGAGTACTTTAGTGCATTTTAAAATTAATGTTTTTCCTATAAATATAAGTGGGTACGTACATTAATGCATTTTTTTTTCTGAATTTTGCTGTCAGACAAATACATTTATTTGGTGTTAAAATAAGCTATTATTTAAAAACATCTTTCTAGCTTAACTTAGCCGAATAGACTTCGAAAAATTGAATTAAATATTTGCTTTGACCTATTTAAAAGGATCATTTATCTCCAGTCTCTGATATTAATTGTTGTACTAATATTATTAAATTTTACTAATCTTCTAGTATATAGGTAGTAGGTACCTGCTTAAAAGTATCAACTTATCCGTAGTCTTTGATATTAATTACTGTACTAATATTATTACATTTTGATAAGTTTCTAGTGATAAACATCGTTCCGCGTTTATAATTTAATATACCTAATAAGTAGGTATTTTGTAAACATTATTTCCTCTCCACAAAATGTAAATCTTAAATGTTGCATTGTTTCATATACATGTACCTACTGTTGTTATCTTTTGTCTTAGATTTTGAATAACAAGTTTAAATGTCTTTAAATGTAGCTGTTAGACTTAGAACTTATTGTTTTTGGTAGATTTTTGAAAATTTCCACATAAAAAAATTATGTACTATTACACCTAATTTGTTCTTCTGATGGTAACAAAATAATAGTTTCTTGCTAAGAAAACGAATAAAGACACTTAAAAAAATTTGGATGTGAAACAAATCTTTTCAAATTAAAAAAAACGGTCGATGAGCGATACATGGATTTACTTAAATTGGTAAAAAAATTATGGAAATTACTCACAAAAAAATATATTTGTAAATCACATTTACGACGTAATATAGATACAAATATACAATAAGTACCTACATATTATATTACATCATGGTACATTATTGTACGTAGGATTTGGGTAGGTCAATAGTTGAATTTGGAATCCGAGCCGGCGGTGTTCTACACTCATTCACACGATATATTAAGTACCTACATAACATAATAATAATAAACATAGATATCCACAAATATAAATACGCACAAGGATGACATCGAGTTTGCGGGGACGATTCGAGTGCAGAAGACGATACATTGTATTTGCACGCTGTGTATAGTGTACACGTCATATATTATGGAAAAAAAAATCAAGTACTACCCCAACTCCACAATTCTGAAATGTTACACAATATTCGACAGTACCTATACCAACTTATCGTCCAATATGTACAATACGAAACTACGTACGAATATAATAGCATATTAGTGGTTTACATTACCTACACCGCGTCACCTGCCGTGTATTTGGCAGCCGGTCCACGTAAATAGTATAAGTACGACGTGTGGTATAGCTCATCCGACGATACGTAATTTTCAGTGGACGGCGACCGGTGATAAGAACGTAAACACTATATATAATTGACCATTGACATGGTGATGACCTGACTCGAATTCAAGGATTTTCGAACCAATGTTTTGGAGAATTATAAAAAAAACTTACATGTCTCTCTATACTTTTGCACTTCTTTATTTAAAAAAAACAAAATAGAAATTTAAAAATGTACGTACAACAGCAGGTTGGTCATACTTTAATTCGGGCGTAGAACTGGTTGCAACCTAACGGGGCTTGCAAAATGTTTACGGGACAACAGCATGAACCCAAATTGTCGATGGGGGGGGGGGTGCACCGAGCACGGGTGACGGGTCGGTCCGTGTTGTGCCGGATAATCGGCTTACGGTGGAGGATTACAAGTTCTCGTGGAGGCGTTACACCGGAACAAAACAGGCACCTCTAACCACCACCACCGTGCTCATTGCTCACCCTAGCCACGCGACAATATACCAGACCTGGGTGTAAGTACTCTGCTGGGCGGTGTCATGTAATTATTCCGTATAGAATTGAACAGGACATCGCTCATCGGAAGACAAATGCAATTCATATATTATACAACTGTTATAATAATAATATAATGCGTATATTTTATTTTATTCATTATATAATAATAGTATATAGGTACAAAAATATAATATTGTTTATCGACCGCCTTGATGGTGACGAGTGCTCGCGAAAAAAAGTAAATTAATATATTTATATACAAACAAGTCGGACTTCAGTTAAGTCCCGATAATTACTACAGTCATAGCTAGTACACGTTTTCGTGTCACCTGGGCAGACAAACGATAAAAGCACCGAGCGAGAGCAGGATATCCTGGATAGCAGGATGAGCAATGGTGACGATCAGAAACCGATAGCCGGGTAGCGTTAAATTCTCCCGGCATTAGTGCTGAAGCGGTGTGTTTTTCTCACCGATCTCAAGAGTAGAACATCATCGGTTCATGGCACCTCTGGTCCATAGCCGATGACGGATACGTCAATGGTCCGTGATTGTGCCACGCAGTCTGCAGCGGCCAAGTAGGTTGGTATTCATTGCAGTACGCAGTATTGGGCCACGTCTTGTCGGTCGGCGGTGGCTGCTGGTGGTGGTGCTGGTGCAGAGTGTCGCCCGGTTTCTGAAGCCATCTGTCCGGTTGGTAACTGTGGTCATGTCCAGTATGCTCGGCGGTTATACCAAGAAGGTGGTCGAGACGTTGTGGTTCAAAGTAACCAGAATCATTGAGACTGCAGTGACTCGTCACCGTGTGTTGGTGAGTCTTGGACTCCTTTATAGGCGTTGAAGTCGCCAGTGGCTCGGCTATCGGCGAGCACGGTTTCTTCTGTTGTGCCAAAGCACATGTTCCCGTGGAAGAGGTGATCTGAAAATTTAAAATGTTGCCATTTATAAGAGTGTCCAATAAATTATGAACAGCAAGTACATGTGTAGAATGTAAATAACAGAACAACACCATTTTTTTAAAAACATAATTAGGAAAAGTGTTTTTCTAATAATAATTGTATTATATTGTATATTTCTCTCTCATATTAATTATTATCATAATAATAAACTCGACAGCGTTCAAATATTTTTTTGCATTGTAAAGTTTGCAATTTTTGTAACTCGTAATTTTGAAGTAAAGATTTTTATTATATGGTAACAATTTAAAGTTTTTTTTTTTAATTACGTACATTTCTAAATGTAAGGATCATAAAAAATCTCAAAATACCTCTATTTTTGGTAATCCTAAAATATTTTGAATTAAGTATAGGATATATAAAAAAAAATAAGCACTATTTTTATTTTTTATTTTAATACTTTATCTCAAATAGGATATAAAAAAAAACATTGATGTAAATCTATTTATAAATTATTAAATGGAAAATCAATTTCTACTATCTTGAAATTGTATAATATAAATATTTCTGTACAGTTAAAAAGTGCCACTTGATAAAATTTTTTATTAATCTGTCTGTATTTGGTTAAAAATAATTATAATTGTCTAGTTTGTTTATTTGGTATAATATTATGTAAAAAAAAAAAAAAAATTGTACTCACTTTGTTGCCTTGTTGGCTTATGCTGACCGTTACGTCTCCCATGGTAAGCATTAGGGGTTGGTCTTGGTCTATTGGGGATTGTTCGCTAGTCTCGACGACCTGTAGTGTATGAGATAGTGCCCAAATGTAGTTGTGAGCGAACCTGAGAGTTTCGATTTTTGTTAATTTCGCATCATCTGGGTATGTTGGTAAGACACACCGAAGTCTGTCTAAAGCTTCGTTTAACATATGCATTCGATTTCGCTCTCTGTCATTTGCCTTCATACGACGGTGTTTTTTTATTTTAATCAGCTAAACAAAAACAAATATAAATATTTTATAGTTTTTTTTTTTTTCATTTGGCTCCCCTTTATAATAATTAATTATTGTTTTGCCACTTTGACTACACTATCTTACCTGCATTGGACTTCGTTCTCTCGTTCTTCTTTGTCTGCGTTTTTTTGGTTTTACTTGTAAGTCGTCGTCGGCTAAGCTCACGGACGAAGCGAAATCCTCGGAGCCCATAGTATCGTCCAACGAAAACGTAGCTTCATTTTCCGAGTCGAAGCTCATTTCGAATCCTGAATCGGAACCGTCAAGACCGTACAAACTCTTCGGATCCATGGTCACCAAGAGACTGGTTATACACAAACACGGAGCGTTCGATCATCGCACCCTCACAGGCACCCGGTCGGGGGTGGGCGGACCAGCCGTTTTACTATTGGGCAAGTGCAACACCCTCATCATCGCCGCCGCGATTAGGGTGGGGGTATATATTTTGCAGTGACCGTTTTCCGGTCGGTAATGCATTTATTCGTAAATCGCAAATTCGCGAATTTCGTACCAACTTTTTTGTCGAAAATTCGTTTCGACACATAAACCACTTTTTGGCAGATGTATATGCCGCGGCACTGACACTTTCCGAAGAAAATCGGAAAGGGTTAACACATGTTTTTTATAAGGTACTATATTTTTTTTACGTGGATGCGTAATCGATAAATCAAATGATCGTGATATAGCCTGTAACGAATCGTAAATGATTATTATTGGCGCGCTGTGTAAATAAAATAAATAGCAATAAGTGGAGTAGAGCGTTGTAAACGCGGGGCAAGGTGTCCGAAACCCAAAACGCCCGTAAATCAAATTATAGCACGATATATTATATTATGTAACGGGGTAAATAGTACTATAATATTGTATTATTTTCGTAACGAATATTTTCAAACAGCTGGGCCGTCTACACATAATACACGTTATAGGTATCGACAACAAAACGAAGATATACCAACTATGGGTGTTCCGTGTGCACAGCAGTTTAACCTGTGTAATTTTGAACGTTGACGTAAAATCCATTACTGCGGTGCTGATAAACGCATTCAATTGTGTTGCTCGGGAAGCCATGACGATGTCCATTAGGGCATAAATTTAAATGAGAACTGGCACACGCAAAGATGATGTTAATTACTATCGCACACTATTAATGTACATATTGTTTTTAAGCTCTACGGCCCGTGTTATACGATGCCCGTTATTAAAGCGTTCCAGATGACGTTTTTTCTTATTATTTTTTTTTTTTTGACCAAAAACTATATTTGTGACGTGAATCCTAGCGGCGTCGGTGATCCAGAAAAAAATCCCGAGACGTGACCCGTGGACCATGTTTGCCGAATACGATTTTTAACCACGTTCGTTACCTTTGACCACATCACATTCGAATAGCGCGGTTGGTAGGTACCTGTACGTAGTTAAGGTTATGCTAGGCATATTCTCGACAGGTGGGTTTAGGTTTAAGAACACATTTACTTACGTTTCAAAGTCAACTGCGATAATTTTCAAATGATTATATTTACGAAACTAGCACAAACGCGATTGAACCAACCAGAAAAGTGATTTACAAACAAGTAGGTGCTTATAATAAATATAATGTTATAGTTCCATATCCAACACGTCAATGCTCAGTGCAATTATAACATACCATGTTACATACCTGCAATGATAAATTCGACGTACATTACCACGCGTATAATACTTTCAATGAAATATGTTATTTGTACCATGTGAACTTACCTCGAATGGCATTGTTACTATGTGAAATAAAAAAACACTCGTCCGTCTAAAATTACCGTTATATGAACATAATATAACCTTCCTTCCAGGATGTGGTCATGTAAAGAAACTGTTTCAATGGAGTATTTGTTCAGGTAACAAAAATAAATAATTACCAATGGCAAATGAAATGAATAATGATAATAGATACTACACTGTTCGTAGTTTTCAGGATCACTTCCCCGGTGGCTTCTGTTTCACTGCAAAATTGTTAAAACTACAAACACTCATTACACCAATTAACTGAAAAGTAAATACGAAAACAAAAGACACATTTTATTAAAATTAAGGTATTTTAACAATATGGTTTCCATTTAATTAGTTAGGTATTCATAATATGCTCTAAAAAACAAATGATTTATCTAATAAAGCGAAAATATGATTATTAATTTCTTATAAATTGTGTTTTACCATGTAAATGTAACAGAAATGTTTTATTATACTCATGATAGTTATAAGTATCAACTGTTGAACTGTGAAATAAAAAATTCATTGTTTGCTTCAGCTATTATTGTTTTTAGACTAGATAAGTATGCTCATGGTTTATACATGCCAGAGTTTGGACATTTTAAAATTGTTTTTTTCTTTCATACAACAAACGATGGATAATTTTTGATTCGACAGATGTACTTATCACGCCATAATATAACTGATTTACCGTTTATACGTTTTACCGTAGAAACTGTTAGGCTGTTTAAATATATAATATATCTATGTATACAAGTATAATAATGTATTATAACTTATTGGCTTAACACACGTTAGACCCTGCAGAACAGTGATCCTATTTGTGGTAATATATAGTATCAAAAGTTTCGGCCGAATTACCGATTTGCACCACCGCGTCGAGTACGGAACGGGTGCGGGTAAAAAAAAAAAAAAAAATAATAATAATAATAAAACAAAAAAAAACTTTTTGCATTCGTATTGTGTATTATACGTGTATAGGTTGTGGGGCTTCACAAACAACCGGAACAAAACGGGTTCCATTGAAAAGAAAAGGGTTGGTAAATTATTAACTGGACCCTTTGGGGGTTTTTCATTTCAAAGATCACTCTCCCTCTTTTGATGTATATACTTTATACTCTTTTTTTTTTTTTTGTTCATTTTAAAACGTGTATTCTGCGACAATGTATTCATATATATACATATAATGCATGCAGCCGGCCAGCCATTAGTGCGTCAACAAGGCATTACAAGTCGGATTATCGTTTATTTACTTATCGGTCGAATCAAAAATATATGACTTGGACGTAAAGGTTCTATTTTTTTACCGTATTAATATTTAATAGTCGGTGGTTTGTTCATTAAATTATCGTTTAAAAGGCACGTGATAGAAAAATAAAAGCAGTACTCTTGTGAGTATTAGATTATTGACATTTTGTTCTTAAATGTTATTACTTCGCAAATAAATATATGAATGTACTCTAGGTAGGACTGGTAGGTAGTTCTTTTACTTCTTAGAACATGTTTTAGTACACGTTTTTGATACTGATGAAATTTTTGTAAGTACTTATATTATAAAATAAAACTTATAAGTTATATGTTTATATCATATACATAGTTACTCCAGTCTAAAATATTAGAAGGCATATTTTTTTTGTTTTCAAATCTTATTTGGGATATTCATATAGAAATAGTTAGCATTTATTAACTATCAATGTATTTGAACACAGCAAATTTTGTATTGACGAAAGTCATTAGATTTATTAATTTATTCATGCATATATTATATTATTAATCAGTTTCTATTTTAATTGAAATTCGAGTAGAAGTTCCTTTCGTTCAAACTCATAAGTGATGAACGATGGTAACAATTGGTACAAGCTAAATAGTTATATAATTAGTGACTTTGGAAAAACAACAACAAACAATCACAGTAGTTATTAAATCTAACCTTTTCCATCCTACAGGTGTAGGTAAAATATTTATTTACATAATGCTTATAAATTAAGTTTAATAATAACGATTTTACTAAAAAAATAAAATTGTATTGATGATAATAATAATTTTTATTTTTGATTCATCGTGAGAAAATTGTATGTTGAATAGTATTCTATTTAAAACAATATCATTATTTTAAGGGTGTACCTACTATATAAAGTTAAATAATTTTCATAATGAAATAAACCACGAATTCATACTTTTGAAATATTTTGCCTAAGCAATAGTAGTTTCAAGATAATGACCATCAAACCCTGGATATTATAGCATATTATTATAGTTGTATGCTAATTAATATTTATAATATTATTATAATCCTGCAAGCATAAACAACGTAAGCCTGCACCCTTATTTAACTTATCAAGAAGTATAAATACATAATATAGTTAATATAGATATCAGCTAATGTATTCCTATAGTTGGTTTATTTGTGTTTTATTTCCATAAAGTGAAATAACAGACTTCATCTTATGTAAAACCATTAAATATAAAAGTAATTGTTAATGTGAACACACATAATTGCCCTAAATAGGATGAGTATAAATGTACATCACATAACCAACTAGCTCAAGGATTTTTATTATTTTGTAGCCCTTATGTAAAATAAGAAATGTATTTATTTTATTTATTTTTTATTAAATCTCAAAAAATAATTTAAAAATACCCAAGTAATGTAGATTAACCATAATGAATAACTTAATTGTTTCTATTTAATTAGGAGTTGTATTTATTTTATAATTTAATTAAATCGTTGTAATTTATGGATGCTAATAAAATTATTAGTACGACCATTAAATTGCTTCTATATTACTGAAAAAAATAGATATAATAATAGACAAACATTGAAACATCCTAAGTTTGAATCAGATTATTGATATCTGATAAAATGGTAATAAATAATAGACATTTTAGTTTTTGAGATTAAAACAAACATAGAAAATCACATAGAACGGAAACTAATTAGTAATTACCGAAATACATATGGGTTGACCACTTGTCACTATTTCGACGTACCTACGTCCGGAACACATTGAACTTTATAGTTAATCATTTTCCTGTCGATTGTTTTACAATTTCCCTGAGAAATTGTCGAACGAATTTTCCATAACTTTACTATACGTATTTGTGTGCGCACGATACCACAAGTACATTATTATTACGGTGGCACAAAATTGTACACTGCACGAAGAGAAGTAATCGTTAAATGTTGATATTTAATAACGGGAGCATTAAGTAACGTATTATTATGTTGTTGATAGTTGTGTACGGTATTCGTGTGCTCGAGAAAAGTCAGTAAAACTTTTTATGTACATCTATTAATGAACATATACATATTTAAATAGTTTTTAAGTAAATAAAAATTGTTATGATTGTCAACACAATCTTATAATATTATTTTCTGACACTATAATATATTAGTATGTGTAGAGTGTATAGCACCGGCACCACGCAATTGATTGTATGACCTGTGTGCTTCCTATGAATTGTCTTTTAAACTTTTAATTCGAATAACTTACCAGACGAATTTTGGTAACCGTGCTGAAAATCGGAAACTACAAATGCTGCGAACGAAT